TGAGTGGACTCAAATATATAGCCCAGTACACTCTCATGTCAAGGCAACTGGTAATTTTGAAATTCAAAGTCAGCACATGCACATCTGAGGGGTTTTACCTTTATTTCAGGCGTGAGAATCATGTCAAACTGATTGTAGAACTCCTTCGGGTTAGAGAGCTGGTGTTCCTTAGCTGTTACCAGGAACTTCTCAATTTCAACGAGTGCAGTTTCAGCTCCCTCCTGTGACTGGCACTTGTCCACAGCTTGGGAAGCTAAGAGGTAGATTCCAGCTTCACACCATTGGCTTGCCTTTAAAGAAAAATGAGGCAAAGACAACTCCGTCATCACTGACAGTCCATGTTGTGAACTGTTGCGTCTACTCCATGAAATACAGCTTTGCCCTCACATGTCACTAAAGGGAATGAATGTTACTTCCTGCACCCAGCAGTTCCTGGCCACAAGTCACCCCACCTAGATATGTAGAACCGCAGCAAGTTCAGTTCAGCTCTCATGGGTTAGATGGTCCAGTAAAATGTAAACTAATAATACTCTGAGCAAAGAGAAGTGCTACTGTGGTTGCTACAAATCGAATCTGTCAGCTGTACTACCGCATTTTGGTGTTCAGTCACACAATTATCCAAAAACTGAAATGAATATTTGAGCCATATTAAAATTCCCGAAAATGTCTTAGCCCTATAAAACTCGGTTAAAAATACTCCAAAGACAGTTTTTACTGTAAAATTTTGGTAATTCCTGTTTGAGATGAGGCTGGAATAGCATGCAGATGCTCTCAAAGCACTTAGCTTTCTATTCTAGCTAGATCAGAGAAAGTGAAAACAACTGAAGAAGCAGCAACTGAAGAAGCAGCAGCAATTTTTAAGCATCGGAATACATTTGGTTTTCCTTTCAAATTTAGGCCTAGCTCAATTTTTTTCTTAGTTTTATTTCCTACTTTTCATCATTTTAAGACCATAATTATGGGAAGCTACTGCTCCAGTTTTTATAGTAGCAGTTTCTGAATGAAATGGAGAAAAAAGGAATAAATAATTTTTATCTTAATACAAATAAGCTTATAAAAAAATCCCTTTTCAGTAGAACCTTACCAGGGCTGTTATCTGAGAAGATTCACTCACCTTATCTAACTGCTTATGCAGCTCAAGAGACTTTCCCAAAATATCATACTTCTTCTTGGTCTCATTGGTAAAGTCATCACAAATACGCCTGAGTTCAACACACTTTGGTCTAATGGAGTCAACTGCATAATGGTTGTTTTGGATGAGCTGTTCTCCATGCAGAGCTAGAGACTGGGCCTTCTCCATAGGTTCCTGTGAAATTAATAAGAAAAAAATCCAAAGTTAGGTCTTAAAATGACATGCACAGTAAAGACAATCCATCTCTGTAATCCCTGCTGTAGCCTGGAGGTAAAGGTTTGGGATATTAATCTAGCTTGTATGTCTTATATGAACATCAAAGATCAACTTCATTGTCAGTGAGTACACTGAAACACAAGAGGTTCCATCTGAATATCAGGAAACACTTTTTTACTGTGAGGGTGATGGCCCACTGGAACAGGTTGCCCAGAGAGGTTGTGGAGTCTTCATCCTTGAAGATGTTAAAAAACCATCTGGGCAACCTGCTCTACATGGCCCTGCTTGAGCAGGGGTGTTGAACAAGATGACCTCCAGAGGTTCCTTCCATCTTTAATCCCTCTGTGATAACTGTGATTCTGTGAGTGTATGCTGCCTTCTTTCTCACATACTGGGGACATTCATTATACAAGTTTTTTTTCCCTGCAAAGTTCCCAATAATAAAAAACCCTATATATATATATATAATTTTTTTTTTTT